CCCACTTCTCCACTAGGACTGTGATTCAGCGACAACGTTGCTCCTGCTTTGACTTCAGTGTGCAATCTCCATACTCCATTCCCCACAGCAGAAGGGAACAAATATCTGCTGCAGAGAGTGGGGGTGCAGGAAGAGGGTTACGTCTCTCCCTGATCTTCAAGCATGGAAATTGCCACCGCTGCCTGCCTCAGCACAGGGATGGCCGGGGTCCCAATGCAAAGGAAAACGTGACTGAGCTCAGCTGGAGTACATTACTGAATCCCCAGAAGGACTGTGCTCTAGAGAATCTTTTAATTTAGCCTCTCCAGTCACAGGAGCCAGACCATCCCTGTGCCGAAGGGGAAAGTTCAGCAGAAAATACCATAGATTTTCCCTTGTTTTCTAAAGAGAGGTTATTAGAAATGGATGAGATGTTTTAAACTTTGGCTGCACAAAGCCTTGATTTCATTTAAAACACCTGGCTATGAAAAGAGCTTCAGCATTGCCATACTGTGTCCTAGCTTTAGGAAGCCTCTGCCTTTATTTATTTGACTAGCTATGGGTTGCTTATTCTTGCCTTGACCATGTCGCACTTTACCTACTGTATCACTCAAAAATACAGCCACTTTTAAAGCTTTAGCTTTCTTCCCTCCCCACAATCAACTCCCCCTTCTATTGCTGCTGCAAACAGTTCTCCTGCCTTATGTTCAGGGAAAAAATCTCCATCCTGTATTCACTATTTTACCTGCTTCATTTTAAGTAAACTTTTACTCCTATCACTCTAAAATCAACACTTATGGGAGAGTGAATTGAATTCTGCTGCCTCACACATCAAATGATGGACCTAAATTCCAAGGCCCCAGTTCAACCAAGCTCATAATCAAGTTTAACTTCAAGAACGCATGTAGCCCCATCAAAGTCAGCTGGGCTACTCCTATGTTTAAAGGTAAAGGAATACTGAAGAGATTGGCTGAATTGGGGCCTTACTGCCAGATTGTTATTAGCAGTTAGATATAGCTAGAAAATGGAGAGGGGATAAGAATTTTTCTAGAATTGAATTTCTGGTTTTCCAACAATTTATTCTTCATCTCCCTTGTCTAACCAGCGCTATTAGTTAGCCAACAGTGAACATGGCTTGAATATCAGCTCCTAGGGTAAGCCTGCAGGGTTGGGGCTTTTGTGGGGGGTGAGGGGCACAGAAATCTCTTTATACTTCAACACTGTGCATATTACATGGAAATCAGACATTAAGCACAGAATCCCACAATGCTATCTTTAGAATGCTGTTTCAGAGTACAGCCATATTAGGTTTGCTTTGATTATTTTTCAGCCTTATTGGGACAGTATTGTTACCCTAAACTTTGTCATATTTTCCCCAGAGTAATCCAGTTGGAAAGCCATTAAAATGACTTGCTCTTTTGTCTGTTACCTTTTTAAACTGCTTTCTCATGTTTCATTCAGTCCTCTGCACACACACACTTTTCTGACAGCAGTAGATTTACAAGCCATTGTACTTTACCTAGTGTTTTGGATAAGGCCAAAATATCAGTTCCACAAGTTTAAGTTTTTCCCGTCAATTGTAAGAGACATGATGGGAGGGAACAGCATCCACTAAAGCCAGCAGGAAATGGATGTGAGAGCCCTGTTCCAAAGAACAGAATCCCTGTTATCCCTTAGTCATGGACAATATTTCCTGAAAATATTCCATCTTGATTCCATAATCAGCAATCATTTTACAGCCTCACCTGGCACTCTCGTTTTAGCTCTTCTCGTGGAAAGTTCCTTAACTGAGATCTTCTTTTGGTTATTTCCATCCGTGCTACTCCCCAGCACACTGTTCTCCCAGGACCCTTTTCCAATCTCTTCAAAGTAATCAGCGTGACTGTGGCAGACAAGATGCCAGCTCATGCCAAAGCCAATTCACTTGTGTATAGTATAGATCAAAGTGACTGTTACATGCATAACAGTATATTTGGTGTTTAAACTTCATGAAAACTAGTGGGATGTTATTTGCGTTGTTTTCACTAATCTGTATCCTGTTATAATGTAGTATAGTAGTAAAAATGTACATTGTGTTTACTCCTGTAATTAAATAACCCATCAAAGGAGAAAGAAGTCTTGTGAAATACAAATGAAGAACTTTAAGAGGAAAGTGCTAATTTCAAAATATTTAATCATTGAGTGTGATGATTGGAGGTCAAAGATTCAAAAGGCATTCCTCCTCACCCTGTCATCAAAGGAAAAGCCCACCCAGGGAGTGACACTATCAGCTTGTTTTCTGTGAGAAGCTATAAGAATGGATTCAAAGAGCCTTCATCTCTGGACTGTTTGGCCTCTTACAAGGAAGTGTACCAGATGCAAAGGGGAGATCCCCAGAGACAATCTGGGAACCCTGAAAAGACTTTTGGGAAACTGGCTGTTTATTACATCACTGCCACCATTTAGGATTATAAACTGACTCACCTGTTAATATATTTCACCTGCTTTAGCCTCTCAATAACTCTTATTTATCCAGCATTAGAGGAAAGCAACTTTTGCTGGATTCATACAGGTGTAACTTGGTACTCAGTATGAGCTTATGTATGTTGAAATGTTCAGGGTCAAGTAGCAGAGATGGAGCTTGTTACTGGAAAGACATCAGCTGTACTTAAAGTGGCCACCTATGCTGTCAGCACTACTAAGGGGCAGATCTCCAGCTGGTGTAAATTGTCATTGCTCTGTTAATTTCAATGGAACAATTTATACCAGCTGAGGATCTGTCCTATGTGTCTGAGCATATGTCTTTTATAAACATCAAATACAGAAATGATTTGGGTGGAAATTCTTGTTTTCTAACTTTTTAATTTTTTGTATATTAAAACATCCTGTTATGAGGGCTGTTATCCTTCTTTCTTTTAATAGATAAACCAGTGGAATTTAGAATAAATAGAACTCCATTGTATTATCATATACCTTGGTCTTTTTTAGGGTTTGCTGAATAGCTACATCATTTCTTTTAGCCTGGATCCCATTAGTCATAGTCTGAGTCAATAGGTTTCCATGACAGCAAGTTTCTGTGCAATGCGGCAATTCATTCTTTATTTCTGCTCTAAACTTCCATTGATATATTTAAACCTCGACCTTATAAAAATTTCCTTGATCAAAAGTCATTTAATACAATAACTGGATTTTATTTATACCATGATCTTGCCAAAGAATACACACACTATTGAATTCAGTAAAGGTTGCCAAATTCTCCAGATTTTTTCCCCAGAAATATTTTTTACCTGGTTCTACCTCTCAGAATTCTGACAGCAGTTTCCCCCCCCCCCCCCCCCCCCCCCCCCCCCATGTGTCAGGCCTTGACTCTGCAATGAGCTCCAGCAGGGTTGATCCTGGTGCTCATGCAGAGCCCCCAAATCTCCCCTAGCATCTGAAGCTGTGCTTCAAAAAAAATTCAAAACATATTTGAAGAGTAGTAGAATTTTATTGACCAGCATGGGCAGGGGATTTTCCTCCGTAAGAACAGTTTTCAGTCCTATTATTTTCAATGAGAATGGTGCATCTAAATCCCTTAGGGCAGCCTTGAAAATCTCAGCTACAGTATTTAGCTCTTTTATTCTTTCTTCATAAATCATTTCTCCCCATCCCTGATCTCCTTATTGTGTTGTATTACTTCTATGCAAGATAGTGCTCAACCATACATTTCCTGTTGGAAGGATCATAAAGTAAATAAATAATCAGTCCTCTTACCGCAAAATGTTACTCATGCTAATCTGTCCAACAAATATTTTCAAAAGCCAACACTGGACCCAAACATTAGATATTTTCCCTCCTGGTTTTTGGTTGTTTTTGAAAGCATATACATTTCATAGACTTTGTTTCCCTTTTTTTTTTTTTTTTTTGGCACAGCTCCTATTTGAAAGGGCCTTTGTCAAACACACTGCTTTGTAGGAAGTAGCCTACCAAGGTGATTCCCACCCAGATATTTGTAAACAGTCAATATACTTCAATGAGCTAGAAATTGAGGAACAAAATACCAACCACAAATTCAGTGAGAACTAATAAGAATCCATGAGACTTCATGAGGTCTTGCAATACATGGGCATGCCCCCCCCATCGCATTTGATTGTCAGTTTTTAATATGGACATATATCTGTTATTGATATCTAACTCTAATTGCCCTAATACACTCATTGATGCCCCAACCCACCAGTCCCAATTAGCTGTATAGCAGAGAACCAGCCCTGTCACCACTGGTAGGTGACGAGATCGCAGGAAGAATCCCACAGGCAGAGAATGCTAATAAGAAAATGGAAAAGCTTATAGTCAGCACAGCTGGCAAGAGCAAAGAAAGAAATCTAGGCCAAAACATGCCCATGTTGAATGGTTATTTTGAGAAAATGAGGCTGTGCGCACTCTAAGCTCTTCAGCAAGGAGAGTTCAGATAAAATCCAAGAGAAAATGCAGTTATCTTGGTATTTAGGCTGCTTATTACAACCAATATTAGTATTACTTATTTCCTGCTTTATTGATAACTGTTTGATAATCAGTCAGTAATGACACCAAATAGTCTTTCTCATAGACTTAGTAAAGTTTAAATCGGACATTTTCTATTGGATGGAATGTACAGAGAGATTGAAATTTAGTAGGGAAACTACCAATACTGTCAAATTGGGCAACACTAAGACAGTTGTAATTTTATACCTTGGCTATTTTAAGAATAACCAAGATCAAATGTAATATGAGATATTAAGGCTCCGACCCTGCAATACACTGAGTGCAGCCCAGTCCCTGCATCTGTATAGGGTCCCTTTGAAGTGGGACTCTCTGTAGGAAGAGGGACATCCATACCCACAAAGCATTGCAGGATACAGGGCCGGCTCCAGGCACCAGCTTACCAAGCAAGTGCTTGGGGCGGCCACTTCGGAGAGGGGCGGTACGACTAGCTGTTCGGTGGCAATTCGGCGGACGGTCCCTCACTCCTGCTCGGAGCGAAGGACCTCCCACCGAATTGCCGCCGCAGATCGCGATCGCGGCTTTTTTTGTTGTTGTTTTTGTTTGGCTGCTTGAGGCGGCCAAAACCTTGGAGCCGGCCCTGGCAGGATAGGGCCTAAAAGTGATTCTATAATGTATTTGGGGTTTTTTGCTATTATGTAACAATATGAATTAAGTTATCTGAGTTACTGACACTGTATAGAAAGTGAAATAAATCTAAGGTTTCATAATCCTTCTGAACAATAACTTGTTCCCATTCCATCCAGTTGTAACCCACCTGTACCATTCTAAATAAGGTCTCTTCCTCTTCACTGTTTAAAACCTTCATATGCTGATAGTTGTAGGCTTGTGCCTCCCATTAACCATTACTTAGCCACACCGTGTGGACAAAGCTCAGCTCCTAGCACGAGTGGAAAGTCACTGGTTTCCATCTGCTGATGAGTTCACAGAAGGCCAGAGAGCTAGGCAAGCCTCTATCATTCCCACTCTGTAGCCCTTGTGTAGAGGGCATTATTGGTGGGAAGAGACTGAGGCTGGAGCACACTGCACTTCAGCAACCTTCAGCTGGCCTGTTGGGGAGCTGCAGCCAGCTAGCATAAACCACAGCACCTCATGAAGTGCTAATCTATGCAGTGTCTATAGCATGTCTAGGGTAGATGCAACCTGACAGTAAGGGAGCCACAAGCAGCCTCCTTGCAGTCCCCCAAACTGGGCATGGCAGAGAATTTGGGTCACGTTATTTAACTCAGATACGATGTTGATGTGGGTTATACAAGCACCTAGCTCTCTACTCGTGAGATTAATACTTCTTCATAAGCATCCCTCCAGGTCTCTTATGTATTATTGCTATAAAGTAAAGCCTTATGTTCCTTGTTAGAACGATCACAAAGGGCCAGATTTTGATACTCTTACACGCACTGAGTAATATCTTAGCCCTTTAGCTGCTCCATCTGATCTCACTGAGACAGCTTGAGGAATAAAGTTCTAATCAATGTGAGTAAGAGTATCAGAAATTGGCATAAAATAAGTGAGAAGAAAGTAAACTAATAATGATTTAAATGTTAAAGTGACTTAATAATCTGAATAGCCAGTATTTTAAAAGATCATCTGTATACGGTATGAACTGATTTAAAAATACTGAATTTATCATTAAATTACTGCAGTTCAAACCACGATGAAATAATATGCAGTCACCCAGTTTCATGTAATTGAATGTTAAAACCAATGTTCTGAAGCTATTTAAAGCCTTCAGTGTTTTCACTTTTTCCATGGTATTGGAAGTATCACTTTGACATCAATATGGAGAAAACAGATGGCTAGAGTAATGAACAAGTGAGCAGTATGATACTACCAACTGACTACTCACAAGTTTGACTAACAAATTAGATAACAGACAGAAAAGAAGTGGGCTGGTAATTAACAAAGTTGGTGCTGTATGTCAAAGTATTTAGAAAACCAGTAAGATACAAATAGACTCTGAAGGGAGTAGCAGTGAAATATTTAGAATAATAATTCAAGAAGTTTAATGATGAAAAAGGAACTGAAATATGGCTTTTACCATAGTGCCAAAAAGATTGGAAGTGAAGGAGAAAAAAAACCCATACATTACTGGGGAAATCAAACCTGTAATCTCTGTGTATTTGTCACCCAAAAGTAAAGAATTCCCTAAATTATATAGAAGACAATTTCATGATTTGGAAAGGGTCTAGAGAAGAATAATGTGATGATGAAATAGAGAAAAGAAAACTTAATAACTAGGAAAAGGTCTTTTAACTTAGAAGCCTATTAGAATGAAATAATCACTCAAGTGATGTGAGTTCAGTCAAACTACAAACAGGTCAAAGCATTCAAGGTCAACCCAAAGGGAAAAAATACATCATTGGAAGGAAACTAGACAAGGTAACATGCTATTTTTCCTCTCTTCTGAAACACTTTATCAAAACATTATTATAAAGTTAGTCCAAATATTTGATTATTCTCATCTCTGTCTTGTTATTCTTGGTCTCTTCCATCTTTGTGTAGTCTGCAAAATTACAATGGGGTTTATTATAGTGTCCATTCTTATCAATATTAGGCCACTTGCAACTTTTAAGAAACAGGCTAATTTCTATGTGTATGCCAACTTTGGACTGGCTAGTTTTCAGGGGACTGTGTTGGAGAGGAGTAGCCATTTCTGGACACTAAAAGTTAGAGTAAGTTGGTACTCGAGGGAGGAGTAAATTCCACCAGACACCAACAGTCCTTCTTGCCAGGAATAATCTCTCCCTCTCAAGACCTGCCCTCCCAGTGGGGTCTACCAGTCAGTCCCTTTCTTCTTTGGTCCCGGATCTAACAAGAGGGAAGGTTATACCGGAAGGTCAGGCTGGGGTGGGGAAAAAACATGGAAATAAGACATCAGAACATAGCAGCAGAGAAGAACAGCCACGTAGAACCATGAAGGGCATAGAAGATCACAGAATCCGACTTAGACTAGGAATGTGGCCTTCTAGTACTAAGTGGAGGTGGTGTGCTTAGGGGGTGGAAGAGCTCTCATTTTATTGGGTGGAAGAGCCAGTGGTAGAAGGAAGGTAGTACCCCTACTAGGAAGTGGCAGGAGAGGGTGAGCTGAAGAGATGCATATGCATTTTAAGTGTTAACACATGTTCAAAGCAGACTCCAGGAAAAAAAAAACCCAGCTTTTAAGAAAAATTATTATTATTAGACCAGAATAATCATTACATTCAAAAAATATATTATTACAAAAGTATACTGATGCAATCAGTGATGGACTAAAACTAGTATAAATATCTTTTGCAAATATTTTCTTAGACTGAAAAAGTTCATAGCTAAAAGCCATTGTATAAAAACTAGTTTTTAGTCTAGGAGGAGGATAGTGGCTAGATTAAGTGTAATAACAGTTTTAAGAAACTCCTATATAGAACAATATACGCTACTGGAGCTGACCTTCATTTTGACTACTATACAAATCCCTTTAGTTATTGGTTTTTGGTATTTCTCAGAGGCTCTGGCACATAGAAAAGCAATTTCAACAAGTGAATTTTACAGATAGTAAGCAGCATCTCTGTCCCTCCAAGAGGTTTTAAAGTTAAAATGCAGGTTTGTTCATATATTCCTCCATTGTCTGAAAGAAAAAAAAATAGCAAGTGAGGTGTTACAGATTGTAAAATACTATGAAATACAGTAAGGACCTGAGCTGTTCCCATTGAACAGGGTTGGAATTTTTGATTGATTTCCATCAGATCCAGGCCCTATGAACACTAATCAATGAAATATCTACAATAATAATACTTTAAAACCCTGTTAGACTGAACTTGCACATGTAGTTGCTATATCTAGCTAGCCTTTTGTACATGCCACTACTGCAAGCTGGTGGGCTCTCTCAACAGCTCAGGAAAGAACCAGTGCCTTGCCCGTGCCTCCCTCAGGCCCATGCTCCAGGGCAGAGAGTATTATTCAAATATGAAACAAAGCTTTTCCTTTGACCAAAGCAGACAGCAGAGGCCTTTCCCCTTGCCTCTCACCCCACCCCCTTTAAACCCATTCTGAGTTATGCACAGGCTGCTCTTAACCCACTCTGGCTGTTTCACCCTATCAGCATGTGCAAATACCAGCTTGTAATGGGGGAAAAAAAAAAAAAAAAATGCAAAGGGCCTATTCACATAGTGTTTTCCTAACTAGTTCTACCAGCCTCTCATTTTCTTCCATGTTAATGATCGTCCTGAAAATTGAATCATCCATAGCGTTTGCCAGTTCTTACCATTCTCGGCTCACTAAGGTAATTTACAGTGTAGGAAAATGAAGCTCATTCCTGCAGGTTTTTGAATAAAAGTCTCACACCTATTCTTCATAGGAACCATTACATGGTCTAGTTATGGACAAACTGGAGGTTACCAGCACATACTTGTGTTGATTTTGATATTACCATGTAGGTCATTTGTCACTTTATTAGTGAAACAAAACAAAACAAAAAACTTGAACATTCAGGCCCTCTACCATGACGTGTTAAACGTCATTTAAAAATTATATAAAACAAATTCTTAATGCAGTGTCTAATATCTAGCAACTGACATGACTGATTAACAACCATTCTACTTGCAAAGTAGCCACCGATAGCATATGAATAACTTAATACCATATCACAGGATGCCAGAGGATTGAACGAAGGGTATAAGATATTGCCACCTTTTGTAATTATACGGTTGTACCTCGTAGTACTAAACTTCAGACATGTTGGGATATCAAACACTACTCCTGTCAGACAAAAAAAACTGTAGCGAGGTGTGTGCCTCTGTCTTACCTCTTGTAACATATCAGAATCTTCTATAGCTTTCACTGCTGATTTCTTTGATGTTTCTTGTATTTCTCCACCCATTATAAACTCATCAAGAATAAAATAAGCCTTTTCAAAATTAAAGATAATATCCAGCTCGCAAACCTGATGAAGCAAAATACACATTTAGGCACAATATTATAGCATTATATGTATTAGCATTCCTAGAGCTTACAGATTGCCAAACCTATTCAGCGTATGCACTCTTGTGGCAGACAGTAAAGTAAGAAATAGAAATACTGAATATTAAGTGATATCACAACTTTGGCGCTAGTGAAATCATATTCTTCTCTGCATGAACAAAGACTAAGTAAGTATAAACAGATTTGTTTAAACACTTTTTGTTATAGAATACTTACTTCATGAAACAACTTTTAATAAGACATATTCTCTGCCCCAAACATCTTACAGTCTCTGACAGACCAAAAACAAAAAGACAATGGAAGACACAGCACAATGATTTATGTTAAGGAGGAGTCAGATAAATCAACTGCTCAAGAAAACATGGTAGAAAACATTCATAAAAGTGGGTCTCCTGCAGCACCCAATGCCTCCCCTGGACCATCTCCATGTCCCCTGGCCCATACCAGCCTCATTAGTCCCGCACACCCTGCTGATCTCTTGCCCTCATGCAGTGTTTCCTGTTGCTTGATATGAGCTAAAAAAAGTAAGGTCATTTTTGAAAATTTAAAACAAAACAACAAACACTCCCCCTCCCCCCATTTTAAAATTCTTTTTCTGATTTTTCCCAAAAACTTTCTAGATATCTCCCTTGGGAAGAGATGTGGCATGTGAAATGTCAGGATTGGATTCTCTTTGGGGTCGGGCATATTATGGGACATAAACTCCCTATAATAGCCTGGGCACTATTTTACTGTCATATCCACCTCATGCTGGATGTGTGGACATGGTACAACCAAGGCAGAGGGAAAGGTTGAGTAAGAGCAGCTACAGAGATTTTCACACCTGACTCTGTGACAAACAACTAAAGGGCAAAAATTATCACAACTTAAGGAAGAAAAGGAAACTTACATTTCCAAAATACCTGTCCAGTAGTTCTACATAACGATGAACAACCTCTAGTGTCAGCAGCTCATTATCCTGGTCTTCTATTGCACAGCAAAAATATAAACTAGCATACCTATAAAAATGAAAATGGGTGAGTGCTTGGTAAAACCTGAAGTAATAACTCAATCACAGAGATAATTTGGTTCATATCCCTGCCTATGCAAGTCTGTTCTCTACAGTAAGGCTATGTCTACACTAGCACTTACTGTGGTATAATTTACGTTGCTCAGGGGTATGAAAAAGCCATCCCCCCTTAGCATCATAAAGTATACTGACCTAAGTGCCGGTGTGGACAGCACTAGATCGGTGTGAGAGCTTCTCCTGCTGACATAGCTACTGCTGCTAGTGGGGCTGGAGTAGGTAAGCCGACGGGAGAGTTCTCTCCCACTGGCTTAGAGCAGTTACCACAGAGAGCTTATAGCAGCGCAGCTGCACCGACGCAACTCCACTGCTGTGAACTCTCTAGTGGAGCTGTAACTTAACAGTTGAATGAATTTTCCTCTCTCAGCACCTTTATTTTAAAAGGAATATATTAATAACAGTAAATAATTATTCTTTTGTAAAAAAGCTGAGTAGATTTGTTGAATACCTCCTCAGTGTTTAAGCTTCAGGACTACATTTAAAAATAACAACTGGTAAGGGACAAAAATCTCCCCAAATGCTGCAGTAGCCCCTACTGTAGGTGTATTGTTTTAGATTGTAGAATAATGTTGTGCTTTAAAAAAAAAAAATGCATAGAAAGAACGAACATTTGGGCCACTATTCAGGCTACCAAATGGTTAATAGGGTAATTTGTGCATTTTTCAAGAAACAGATTACATGTAACTACTCGTGCTGATCAATTCTTTCTTCTGATTGGTAGCACAGTTTTATATTTAGTTAATCTAGTTTCATGAGGGGGGAGGAGGAATATCCACTGGAGCATTCTTCTCCGGGTAGTGGCTGGAGCACCATTTCAGCAAAGCATCTAAACCTATGTCGGTCTATCCCTTTTCAACAAAGCACTTAAGAACATGCTTAATTTTAGTGCTTTGCTGAATAAGGGTGGACTTCTGTTTTAGGGCCTTCATTTCTCTCCTGTAACTATAAAGGCAGGGATAGCCTGTTATCACTCAGGCTCATGTACCTGGGGAAGATACAAATTCCAGAATGGTAAATACTTCAAAGCTATGATTTGGCAGAAGGCTCCTCAATACAGTGTGTGTAACCTTGCAATACACTGACAAAGCACAACATGCTTTTCAGCACAATACCTTTAAATTAGCAAGATTAGCTAGGCATAGCATCTTCTATAATTTAAACTGTCAATCAATTCTTACTCCCATTTTTCTTCAGTGGTAAGCAATACCAGTATTTTTCTAATGGCAATTCACTGTGTCAATTTATGGAATGGGGAAAGGCAAGCTGATTTTGTTTAGAATCAACCTGCATTGTTCCTAGTTTCAGGCTCTTACATACAGCATTTTCAAACCCTCATGGCACTCATTGTTCCTCATGTACTTCATCCTAGTAGCATTTACAAGATTAAGGTGTGTGTGTGTGTGTCTGTCTCTCTCTCTATATATATATATTTATTCTTATAAAACTACTCACACCTTTTGTAAACTAGCTTTAGGTCTTTCCAGTCGACAAAACTGCTCATCCTTTGACTGCGAGCCAGAATAATCTGAACAATTTCCCGTGTGATCTTTTTCCTCTCTTTGTCAGGTAACGTTATGTACCACTTCTGCAGTCTTAATTTCCCTTGTCGGCTGAACAGCAGTATAAAGCGTATCTAGAGTAAACAAAGCAACATGATAATACCGGGTCACATGCAATTGTTTTTCCAGGAAGCAGCAATTCAACTGCCATTCTTTACTTTATTACAAAGGAACATGGCAACTGGCAAAGAACAATTCACCCACGTGCAGAGGGCCAATATAATGCCTATGGCACTTAAGCTCTCAAGAATTTCATTATTACCATACACATCTAATATCAGCCCTAGTAAAACACATTCCTCACTTAAGCATATGAAAGAAATGAAGATGCAATCAAATGCATGATTTTTATTTTATTCAGAGATTTTTAAGGGCTAATCTAAATATCTCTGAGAGTTTTGTGAATTATATAATGAAAGATACCTGGATATATATTAGAATATTTCAGATGTGCCAAGGCACTAATACAGTCCCACCCCTCTCCTAATTAGAGGGAAAGAGTGTTCTGATAATTGAGCCTACAAATTTACCCTAATTCTGAGCTCAACTGTAAAAAGTATGTAAAAATTCATAAGATGTCACAATAACCTTTAATAACAAATGTTGATGGGAAAAGATATGAAAGGGTGGCAGACTAAAATTAATCTAAACAAAAAGGCTCACTGATATAACTCAAGGACTGTGTTACGATCATGCTTGGCAGATAAGAAAATGTGGGTTCAGAAATTAATGAACCAAAATTGGGATGTCAGATATTAGGCCTAATTGGTGGACAAAATAATGAGGGGCTGTGCTATTCCAACCATTCTTCTCTGTTTGGGTGCTTAAAGAAAGAGACTTAGGGGACGGGAGAAAGATGGAAGAACAGATGGAGGCTATTGGCATAAGCTTCACCATCATGGCTGCCTTGCAAAATCTGAGACAGACGAGGTGTGGAGAATGCTTTCAGATGTCTTAAAAGAGCAACACTCCGATGAGGAAACTACAGAACCCGAACCACCAAAAAAGAAAATCAACCTTCTGCTGGTGGCATCTGACTCAGATGATTAAAATGAACATGCGTCGGTCTGCACTGCTTTGGATCGTTATCAAGCAGAACCCGTCATCAGCATGGACGCATGTCCTCTGGAATGGTAGTTGAAGCACGAAGGGACATATGAATCTTTAGAGCATCTGGCACGTAAATATCTTGCGATGCCAGCTACAACAGTGCCATGCGAATAGTGTTCTCGCTTTCAGGTGACATTGTAAACAAGACGTGGGCAGCATTATCTCCTGCAAATTGTAACCAAACGTGTTTGTCTGAGCGATTGGCTGAAGTAGGACTGAGTGGACTTGTAGATTCTAAAATTTTACATTGTTTTATTTTTGAATGCAGTTATTTTTTGTACATAATTCTACATTTGTAAGTTCAACCTTCATTATAAAGAGATTGCACTACAATACTTGTATTAGGTGAATTGAAAAATACTATTTCTTTTGTTTTTTACAGTGCAAATATTTGTACTCAAAAATAAATATCAGGTGAGCACTGTACACTTTGTATTCTGTGTTGTAAGTGAAATCAATATATTTGAAAATTTAGAAAACATCCTAAAATATTTAAATAAATGGTATTCTATTATTGTTTAATCATGCAATTAATCTTTTTAACCGCTTGACAGCCCTAATCTAAACTATTAGTTTTAAAAAAAGACCACCAAGCACACGTGCAAAAACTGGACTATGACAGCTTGGTTCAAATTAAGAACCAGCATTTTCCCCCCTTGATAAAGCTTCATTTCCATGTAAAAAAGAAATTGGCCAGAACCAAATTCCTGGATCCAAACACCACTGAAATCTGGGGTTGTTAAAAATCCGGACCTATAGCTGAATTCCATTAACTGTCCCATCTTTACTGAGAGTCAAATGGGTCCAGATTCGCTGGGACAGATTCGCTGGGGCAGAACTCAGTAGCTGGAGGGAGAAGGCAGCTTTGCACCACCTCTGCATTCCCCCTGACAACGGGCCAAGCCAGGAACCAACCTGGCCCTTGCACAGGTCAAGAGCCCTTTTGGCCCAGCTGCCCACAGCCCCAAGAGGCTATTCTGTCAGCTGAGGATTGATGAGGCAGAACAGTGCACAGCTCCTCACTTTTCGCCCTCACAAGAATCCCCACATGCTGTGGGCTGGGAAGGGACTTGTGCAAGAGTTGCTATGGTGGTTTTACACTACTTGGGGATTCCTTCCATACAGGGAGAATCGTGAAGAGGCTGAATTTGCTTTATACTGCAGGAGTGGATGCAAGAGTCAGGCTCTAGACGGGGACATCTCAGATATGAAATGCTCAGACTCCAGATCTAAATGCTGAGCCACGCCCTCTGCTGGTGTAAATCCATGGAGCTCCACTAAAGTCAATGGGGCTACTCTGACATCAGCTGAAGATCTAATAGGATGTGGCATGGACCCATGTCTTATATATGGACAATTTAAAACACATTAAAGGATTAAAGTTCAGGTTGCAGTTAAGATTCAGGATTAGAATTAAGGATTCTGCAAAGAAAGCCTTGCATTCCAGTAAATTATAAATACATCCAGCAAACAGAAGTGCACCAGTGAAGCTTCTGAAAAAAACACCCTGCTTCTAATCTCTCTGCAGCTGGGTTTTTAAACAGAATATTTATTCATAATTCAGAACTACTTGGTGGCTAATAAAAGCCCACATTTATATATTACACATTGAAGCACACTCAGTAGGAAGGAAAAAAACCTTTGATCATGTTTTCTTAATTTCAGAATGATTTGTTTAAATATTTAAATTAGCATCAGCAGAGAGAAATAATTGTTTAAGATTATTCAAGATATAACATTTTGCCTTTTCTAGCTGTAAATCTTTGGAGAATACTGATAAAATTGGCTTACTGGGAACAGGTCACACACACATTGTATGTCCCTACACACAGAATAAAAACCCTTTTCTAAGGGCATTTACAGACAATTCTGTTGGCAACAGAAGAAAATACTGTATCTTATTGACGGCATTCATATTTCACAATGGATCTGAACTACAACTAGTTTGTTTTTAGTTGTTTTGTATGAGAAACCAATGGCCTCAAATACTCTGTGTCTTTGTGATGTTCTCTGTGATGGGTTCTAGGCCCCTCCTTCCTTCTGAAAGTACTGTACTGCATTCACACAAAGACCTACCCATACATGCTCTGTGCTTGATAATATGTCTGTCATAGTGGTAGGCAAATGACTTATCTGGAGACTAACAGTTGTGAATTAATCAGGAAGGTTTCAAAAATGTGATCATTTTGGGGAAGGTGAAAGGTTGTATTCTATTCTCCCTGTGGAAGGATTAGTAAAGCTCCAGGAAATGGCCATTGCTATTATTGGACTAGTTAGCTTGATAAAATGAACTGGATTTTGTAGCTGCTGAAAGTCTACTAGTTTTAATGATGTCCCAATGAGTTACCCAAGTAAAAAAATAAATTTCTGGCAGCTCAGCAGGAATGGCCCGATTAAGATCAAAGGACTATGCCCCAGCCTGGCTCTGTTTGTGCTATTAACTTGTTTTGACATAATGAGGTTATAAGAGTTCTAGAGTTGTAAAGGCCACCTCCACAGAGATTCGGACACAGTGCTTACTGTACATAGAGTTGTCTGCTGACCCGGGGGTTGGGTGGGCTAAAGATTATTTTGCTATCTGCACAGCAAGTTACCTCCGCGGCCTTTGTTAAGATGATTGTATTTTCAAAAGCACAGTGTTAACTCTCAGAGGATGAAGGCAATCGGTGCACTGGGTCAGCAAGTGAACAGCTTCAATAGAAGTAGTCCCACAACAAAAGAATTCCATAGCTTGCCGGTTGGAGCACTCCCCTCAGAGGTGGGAGACCCCTGTTAAATGCTCCCCACCCCTTCAGGGAAACTGAACCCTGATCCCAGGTGAGTGCTCTAACCATTGGGCTAAAAGTTATGAAGTGGGCACCAGCACCACCTCTTCCTCCCCCCCCAGCCCGATTTTGAATGGGACCCAATCCAATAGGCAGCTTCTGAGCATACCTACCAGAAGTGGCGTCACACACTACATTACTGAGCAACCAAATCAACATGGAAAATGTTCACTATAGAATTAGTTAGTCTGTAACATCTCAAAATGCCAATCATTTTTTTCATACATGGTGAAGCACCAGTTCTTCCGTGAAGACTTGTGTATATCAGACATGAAGTGTTAAACACCCCTTTAAATTACCCATGTTCAATAACTGTGTTGGAACTGCTTGCTGAAGCCCAGTGGACTGGTAATCCCACAAGACAATTCACTCACACGTTCACTCACTCATTTCACACACACTTCACTCACATGCTCACTCACCAAACAAAGGGTAGGAAAAATGTTTGAAAGAAATGGAAGTGAACCTCTTTTGTTGGGTGCACTTGTCCACTATTGTTTTCACAGGTCTGAGAGCTGTTTTCCTGCTGCACAGCCAGCAGCTTGAGATCACATTTTGTTTTTGTGGTTGTGATGGGTTAGATCACAGAACCCCCCCATGGGAGCTGCCAATGATGTGCCAAGACTACCTCTGCCCCTGCTTTCCCTGCCAGCTCGGGACCCCAGCATCCTGTTTTGCTGAGCCAGACACACCCGTCTGCTCCAACATAGACCCAGGGTCTGAATTTCTTGCCCCAAAGCTGCAGACTTAACTGAAAGCAACTTACAGAAGCGTTCTTGTTTTTAACACTCAGATGCCCAACTCCCAATGGGGTCTAAAACCCAAAGAAATCCGATTTACCCTGTATAAAGCTTATACCAGGTAAACTCATAAATTGTCCAAGCCTCTGGCAGTAAGTTCAGAAGGAGGGCGTGACGATGCCACCCATAAGGCTTTATGGAAATATGCTTATGAATGTATGTACATATATATATATATATATATATAAAAAACACATAACTAGAATATGTTTAATGCTACATATGCCATGTAACATATCTCTGTAAAGGTCATGATCTACTGAATCTATTAATCCTATTTGTATGCATGTATTATTTTTGTATTTGAAGTTATGAATATTGGCTGCATACTTGTTTTAT